TTTTTAATCTCTCATCTCCCTCCTTTCTCAATAACCACTGCTTGCTGTTCCTGGTGACTGAGCCCTTCATCGCCTTTCCTGGATATATGTAAAGGGAAATTCTTTGTAAATAAAAAAGGAAAAGCAACCACATAAATAATTAAGACAGCTTTCAAATGACAGTCAAGAGCTAATATGAAGTACACTGGAAAATACTGATCAACCAACTAAATGCATATCTATTAAAATGTAGGAGTCCAGACATAAAAAGTCAGGAAAACAATTCATTGTAATTCCACTTAAATAGTGTTGGTAAACATCCTCCTCACAGCCCTTCTCCCACTCAGACACTTATTGAGGGTAAGAAAAGCAGGCTTCACTATGCTCTACATGTGTACCCAAGAAATTATCTTCATCACTGTTATCAGTTCAAATAACTGGCACTTAGCTGACCACTTAATCTTGCTCCACCATATGTTAATATTTTATCTACATATAGTCATTGTGTTTACTACAAACCACCTATGTCTTGAAACAGACACTATAATCTGCATTTTATAGACAAAGAAGCTGAAATTTCCAGAAGTTCAGACACTTTCCCGAGGTCATAGTTTGTATCTGTTTCTAACCTTTGCCAATACACTACAGCTTTGTTTTTATTTTGATTATTGTGCATGCGTGTGTACCTGTATGTGAGTTTGTGCATGTGGGTGCAGGTGCCCACAGATGCCAGAGAAGGGTATTGGATTTCCTGAAGATGTAGGTATAGGCAACTGTGAGTTGCCCAATGTAGGTAGATGCTGAGACACAAACTTGAGCCCCCCCCACACACACACAAATACACACTCCTAATCACTCTCCAACTCTACAGTATATTTTTATAACAATGACACTTAGGCAGGAATGGGCTGCACCATTGCTAGAAAGCATCTGGATATGTGCAAAGATATCTTGGGTTGTCATGAGAAAAGAAGGTCTATTGTATTCACTGAAGTCCTTAGTAAGTTCAATATCAGACCATCTCTGGGCACTGAGAAGACCCAGTGTTGGATCTGGTGGTGCATTCCAGTAAGTATTCTCACCACTTAAAGACTAAAATAGGAATGTCATAAGTTCAAGGCCAGCCTAGACTACATAGTGAATACCCAGACAGAAAACATTACAGATTGAGAATCTGTCAATGAATAAGGAGATAAAAAAGGAGGAGGAAGAAAGGGAGGAGGAGAATAGTAGTTGGGAGAAGAAGAAGAAGAAGGGTATGGCTATGTTGACGTCAAGGAGTTGCTTTCTCTAAATATGACTGGTTCTGAAACAAACCATTTGAGTGTCACCAAAGGATCTAAAGCAAAGACTGCAAGTTAAGGATGTGACATCAAGGCAAATGGCATAAACAAGGGACCTGTCCCTGAGCTCATGATTTATGTGACTCTGGCTACTATCTTCTCTGACAGAGCTGTCCCTTGGCTCCTCTGTGAAAGGAAGAAGAATGGGTTTTTGTTGTTGTTGTTGTTGTTGTATGCCACACATGCACATAATACATGACAGTAATTCCATGAATGAGGGCTATCAGGTGCCCTAACACTGAATTGAGAAAATCATTCTACTGGCATTGGGAACATGGTGATCCTGGAAGGTACACTGGAACTTGGAAGAAAAAGCCTAGGTTGGGAGGAACAAGCTGAGTGGATAAAGAAACAAACTCCATCTCCAGATCTGAGCTAAGGATACCCACAGAGTCTTGGCACTTACAATCAATGTGGAGCCAAAAATACCCAGGGACTCTTGAATGAGCTCTTGCTGCAACAAAAAACCCTGGACCACTCTGAGAACCTCCCACAGGGTGGCAATATGTCTCAGTACACTCCCAGCGAGGTACAGATATGGTCCATCCACAGTAAAGTATGAATATACTTAAGCTGGCTCAAAGACTGAAAATCTGCAGTGGATCAAATTGACCTTGACAATACTTACTGAAATGCCAGATATAGTCCTGTGTAGAGATGTATGATGGGGGGGGGGGGCTGAAGAAAATCAGACAAGCAAGTCAAGGGTAAGCATGTGAGGAAAGTATGGTGGCCAAACATAAGCAAGGTGACTAGTAATGGGTCTCCACACTGCAGGGAATAAGGCAGTGACAGGAAATGGTAACCATGGTTATAGGTACTAAATCTGGGCTTCTGTAATCACCATCTTCAGAGAGTGAGGAATACACAGAGAAAAAGTACACCAGTGAGGTATGATGAAATGGTTGATTTCTATAGTTAAAATACCTCATGATGCAATTTCAGTATCTGAAACTACATGGGGGACATTAGTTTTCACTAATGTTTCTTGTTCCCAGGTCCTTAACTTCAATGTTTTGGGGTAATCATTCCTCTAGGATTGCTACTCCATATCAAGGAACTGTTTGGTGAAACTACACAATGATAATTCCCATCATCTGAAGCTGCCTCACAGGGACATAATTATGGCCTAACATGGAAAAAATAGAGAGTCAATGCTGGGTATCATTAAATCTTCTTCATTAGGGATGTACCAGATGTATTAAGAGACTTGCCCAAGAGCCTACAGCTCATTATGGCAGATCAGGAATTTCTGCCTCTATGTATCAAACAATAGTGGAATCAAGACAACTGTGGTGGTTCATGCCTGTAATTCCAGAACTCAAGAGACAGAGGCAGGGTGACTACTGTGAGTTCAAAGCTAGCCTGAGTTACACAATGAGACCATGGGGGGGGGGGCAACAGAGATAGCTGATAGCTAAAATGGAGAGACACAAAGATAGCTGATAGATCAAAGAGAGTTACATGACAGATAGATGATAGATAGGTAGATGATTGATAGATGATAGATAGGTAGATAGATAGATCATATAGATGAACATAATTGATAGATGAGAGATAGATGATAGATATAAATAGATGGTAAACAGATAATAGATGGGTATATGAAAACAGAGGATAGACAGATATAAGCTATCAAAATGGGGCAGATCAATCTGCTCCTGTGTAATCTAAGAAAAAGATCAATTTAAAGATGTAAAGCAATTTCATTCTGAGACCAGCTTCAATGTTAATATCCTTGTACAGTATACTAACTGCAGAACCACTGAAGTCACTGGAATTGTACTATTACAATTTAATGACACACTATGGACACCCCCATGGAGGGCCTCACCCTCCCTGGAGAAATGAGGGGATAACCGGGGGGGGGCACGGGAGGAGGGGAGGGAATGGGAGAGGGACCTGGAGCTGACTTGTGAAGCAACCTTGATTCTTGTCTAAATTTAAACTGGAAAATAAAATTTAAAAAAAAAACAATTTGAAACACAGTGAATTCAAACCAACAAAATGTGAGAAGCTGACCATCTCTGAGATACCATTTAAACTCTTCTACATTATCAACAGGAATGGACAATGTAGAAACACGTAGGTCACCAAAATTTTAACTGCACATGTAGCCCAGTGAATCTAGGAGCTTGTTGCTAAGATTCAGCTCCATGATAAGCTCATCAACTTAAATACTGAAAAAAGTTCACACACATTAGACCTAGCTTCACATGAAGTTATGAAAGAGTCTGATGCAGAAGACAGAGTGACACTGTATCACCTGTAACAGCACAAAGATACTAACAACCTCATGCACCCCAAATGATTAACTTAACGCTTAAGCACATTCTGGAACAGTATACAACCATTAAAGAGAATGATTTGCAGTGTTTCCCCCAAAGGGCTCATGTATTGAAGGCTTATTCTCTGAAGTAGCAGTGGTCATGTATGTGAATCTTAGGAGGACATGACTAGATCACAGATTTTGACCTCATGGATGGATGCAGAACCTCATGGCACTGTTGGGAGGTGCTGGAAATTAGGAAGGGAGTCTAGTGGATGAATCAGATCACCAAGGCATGAGGTAGGTGTCCTAGAGAGATACACTTAAACCCCAATCAGTCAGTCAGTCAGTCACAGCACTCCCTCCTTCCCTCCCTCCTCCCTCTTTTCCTCTCCCTCCTTCTGGCATGCTTTTCGTCCTCATGCCTTCTCCCATGATGGCTTGTCTCCTCACCAGCCTAAAAGCAAAGCAGTCAGTCAGCTCTAGACTGAAACCTGAGCCAAAACAAAGTCTCCCTCCTCCTGAGCTGTTTTTGTCAGGAACTGTACCCCAGTGAGCAAAGCCCTAACCCAAGTCTATTTAGACACCCACAGAAAGATCTTGTGGTGTATTAGTGAGACAATCAAAGCACAGAACAGCGTGCGCACCTGTTTGCTTTATATTTGAAACCTTTTTCTGGAAGGCTGCACAAAAAAATAGTTAAGAATGTTTACCTTTCAAGGACCCGGACTTTTTCTTTTTTCCTCTCTCATTCTGCAGGAAGAGAAGACTCATCTAGGTATTACCATCTGTCTCCCTTGTGAATCTCTGACAGTCCTTGAATTCTATGGGTAGGCCCATCTTCTGTGTCACTCCCATGCTGTCCACACAGCTTATCTCCTAACTTCATGGAGGCAAAGAGGACCCATAGGGAAGTGGGGGCTCAGCAGGAGGAGGAGGGATTAGAAAGGGTAATGGGGGAACAAAAATGACTAACATGTACAATATACATGTATGAAACTGTGAAAACTGAAATAGATGATAGACAGGCAGACAGACAGACAGACAGACAGACAGACAACTGCAGAAGTGGAAAAACAATGTCGTATGAGCACACACACTTCCCAAGTACATTTATGGGCATTGGCTGGCTATGTTTTATTTCTCTTAATAAAAGATTTAAATAAGTAAACATTCTCAAATCTCTGAGTAATAAAGCCGATGACACGGACAGTGAACTATAAACAAACGCATGGGTAATAACTGTCTCACTCATCCTTTCCTTCATGAAGCAAATAATGTGAAGATGACTTTAAAAACAAAGGCATTATTCCAAGAGTATTAAACTTCATGCACTACACTGAAACCTGTGTGCGCTCAGCCTGGTGTACATATTTGACAATTAAAACACAAATCAGCCAAGCACTTACCCATTCTTCCAAAATGCGGGACACTGCCTCGCTGGCTCTGCTCATATTCCTACAGGCCAGGATCACGTGTGCACCATGGAGGGCAAAGGACTTGGCAGTTTCGAACCCTGTGGTTAAAAGAAAAAGTCCACATTAGAAATGATGGTAATGCCAACATGTGCATCATAAAGGGCCATTAGTGGGCCAAAACTGAGTGGTTCCTAACCAGAGGTGACTCTGCCCCAGGGGACAGGGAGCATGGGACAGTTCAGGAGATACATTCAATGGGTGAAACTGGGCAGTGGAGTGTTAGTGGCTTTAGTGATATAATAGATAAAATATCTTACTTCAGACCAGCAGTTCTCTACCTTCCTAATGCTGAGACCCTTTAATACAGTTCCCTTTATTGAGGTGACCCCACAACCATAAAATTATTTTCATTGCTACTTCATAACTGTAATTTTGCTACTGTTACAAATAATAATATAAATATCTATAGTTTCTGATGGTCTTAGATGACCCCTGTGAAAGGGGCATTTAACCGCCCCAATGGGTCATGACCCACTGGTTGAGAATCACCCACAGCACAGCCCTGCAGAGTGATAGATGATAGATAGATGGATGAATAGATAAGTGGGAGGGCCTAAGACACATAAACAGCCACAATTGCTGGATGTGTAAGTTCTGGAAACACTCATCACAGAGCAGAGCATGGGGGCTTCTCACTAAACAAAGGGTCTAGTCAGTCATGGTTGGCAATGAAGCAATTGACTGTGGCCGGAACTCTTCTTGAACTGCGTTTTCACCTTGAAATTGCTGTATTTGTTGGGTTAGCTATCTCACATCCTGCTGTTGGGCTGCTTTGTCAACACGGGAGTCTAAAGGGCCATCAGTGGTGCAGAGAAGATACAAATGTAAGCCCAGGGACCACAAGGAGGTGGGGTAGTACATGCATGTAAGAGCTACTGCCTCACAGGAGGACCAGAGGCAGGCCTGCCTTCAGGAAGCTCAGTCTCAGGCACTTCCATTTCTGACTGCCCCTATCCAACTGAAAAGCAAAGGACAATGACATGCTCTAGAGAGGAAGAAGCCACCATCCAGACTCTCAGTTATCCCTCCAATTATTTCACATTCTCGTGTAAAACCTCTGGAATGAGAACCTAAAATAGTAAGACACACAAGAGGACAAGATGTTACAAAAGGCCAGAAGAGAGAAACACAGAAACAAATGCACAGGTGATCACCAAGGATGGATCAGAAATGGTGGCTGGAAGCACTAAGGTTAAGAGTTCCAGGAGAGGGAAACTAGAGAGAGCAGTTGAAAGCACTTGTTGTTCTCCCAAAGGACTAAGTTCAGTTCCCAGCATCCACATCAGAAGGCTCAGACACATGTGACTCTGGGCCCAAGGGATCTGATGTCCTCTTCTGGCCTCTATGTGCAACTGTATGTATTCAAGTGCACAAATCCACACCCACACATGTACATAAACATAATGTAGAAGTATATAAATGGGGTCTGAAGAGATGGCCCAGGGGTTAACAGCACTGGTTGCCCTTCCAGGGATCCCAGATTCAGTGCCTAGCACCCACATGGCAGCTCACAACCATCTCTACCTCCAGTTCCAGGGACCTGATGCTCTCTGATGGTTTCCATGGGCACTAGGCACAGATGTGGTATACATACATACATTCAGGCAAGATACTCATACACATAAAATAAAAATAAATGAATCATTATATCCTAAGCAAAAATAAATAAATCTTTATAAATAAAATCTCTGTAAACTGTAATAGTGGTTTCATCTCCAAACCCATCCAGTCATATACATATGCATGTTCAGATTTTGTTTAGTATTTTCCTAAATTTTAAAATATTTTTTAAAAATTAAAAGGACTACAGATCCCACAAACCCTAAAGAGATTCTTTGAAATGTTCAACTATTCAGATGATAAATTTTAAAAGGCAAACTTCTTTAAAAAATACTACTGAAAAAAATATGAGGATAAACTAGAAAACTGAAAGGGTCTACATATTTTAAAAAATTGAATCCACATCTCAAAATCATCTAAAAAAAGATACCAAGGGATGGAGAAACACAAAGAGAGAGAAGATTCAATTTAGTTCTAGAGTTGAATGCACAGGCACTGCTCTAAACAGCAAAATGACAAATACTTTACAGGCATGGTTTGTTAATACGAATGTTCATGCACATACGTGTGCATGTGTGTTGCACACCGAGGCCATCAGATCCCATGAATCTGGAGTTACCTCTGGTTGGAGCCACCCAACAAGGGTTCTGGGAACTGAACCATAGTCCTCTGGAAGAGTAAGAAGCCCTCGTAACCATTAAAAACATCTCTCCAGGCCCAATACCACATTTTTTTAAGTTACAATGAATTCAAACCAATAGTTCCTTTTTTTACAAAAAAAGTTTATATATCTTATTCTAATAATTATTACATGGATATGTATATGTGTGCATGCATTGGACATCAGAGAAAGTTTCATTCTATTTATTACTGGTGTATGTGTGTGAATATGCATGTATGTGGATATCAGAGAACATTTTACTCTATTTACAGTTGCACAGATGGGGGTGTGGCACACATGCATATATGTGGACGTTAGAGAACAGATTTCAGAACTTAGTTCTCTGCTTCCACTGTGGGACTCAGGGACCAAACCAGCTCTGAGGATGAACTCAGGTTTGCACAACAAGCACTTCTACCCACTGAGACATCTAATCAGCATCCAAAATGCCCATCTTAGAATCTATGGTAGAGGGAACACTACAGCCCACGTGAAGACAGCACGAGGGACCAATAACACCTTCATCTGTCACCCTAGGACTGATGTGCACACAAGATCAAAAAAATGACAAAACCCCTATCCCTCCTAAATCTTCATGTCAATGCAATGACCAGAAATATTTTAATTAAATGGTAGTAAAATATAAATCATAGAAGATGGCAAGCACAGTTCCCAGACATTCCTTGGAAACCATTTTGTTTTGTTTGAGACAAGATCTTGCTATGTATCCTAGGATGGCTTGAAACTCACTATGCAGCCCAGGCTGGCCTCAAACTCCAACTCTCCAAGCTCTACCTCCTAAGTTTTGGAATGACAGGTGTGTGCCACACTAAAACAATTGTATTATTTATGGATGCAAGGCCAGGCAGGTGGATGCTGTATTTAGCTCTCCAGGTTAGCAGTAAATAACATCTCGGTCTGGTCATCTCTGCATCCCAGAAGCATACACTGAGGAGTGGATGGCTGACACACACTGCTAAGGGGCCACAATGCTGTGCAGCTTTGAAATAATCCACCTTGTTTTCAAGAGCAGCCCTGATGAACCGGTGACTGGCTCTTTAATAAAGACTAAATATTTAAATCCTATTAAGAATACTACTCACTACAGTTTAGAATGACACTGCTTAGAAATCTACAGGGAGAAAACATAGCCTTTTCCATCACCTTTTATTTTCCCCGACAAACCTTGTAAGTCAGGCTACCTCACCTGACAAAACGGCCTACCGCATAGGACCCTGTATCACTGAAAGCTGGGCATCCGGTGTGATGGCAGCAACAGGCTGCTGAGGCAAGCGTGTACCTTCTCTGCCTCGGGTACATCGTGACTGGAACTACGGCTAAGCCATCTGTCTCTGTGTCTCGTAAAGCTATTCTCTGGACCTTACATCTCCCTTTATCTAAACAGAGCTGTACACACAGCTAGTCAACTTGTCAAAGCTATAGCCGACAAGTCCGTTTTCTAATCCTTTACAACCGCCTTTGGAGCAAAAACAAAGCAGGAGATATTTCAAAAGATGATGGTTTAACAGCGAGGACAATAACACGTTTATAGCAAACCACATCTCTAGAGTATGGAGTTTTATGAATTAAAAAAAAGTTTAATAACATTACCTACTGCTAAGTCCTGGGTAAAGCCCATGAGGACAGCATCCCTCACGCTCGTAACACTGCGGCTGATGGCCAGCTTAATTAGCGAAATGTAGTAGTGCTAAGCCAATCCTGCATGGTGCCAAAGTTGGTGCAAAATAATGAAGGCAATGGTTTACTAAATTTAATAACCTGATTCATCTTATAAAAAATTAACTTCATGACAATGTTTAAATTGCAGCAGCTTAACCACGAGGAGATGGCCAGTGGGTGCGGGAGAATATTTAACGCTAATAATATGAAGAGAATAAATAACGGAAGTCATTTTTAAACAATGGGCAGCAAGGTCTCCTAGCATCTGCAATAGGGGATCTGGTCAAGAGAGCTAAGTGGCCATGGGGGCTTAATACCTCATCGTTTCAGGTTTTAAGTTTCAAATACAAATCTCTAAGATGGAAAAATGTACCCCCAAAACTAAATGCTCCCTTAGCCTACACTAGTTTTCATTCTCTGGGATAGAAGCTACAAAATGGGTAATTATAGAACAAATCAAGTGCCCAAACAGTTCTGTTTGCCTCGTTGTCTTCAGCCACCTTTCCCAGTGTCTCCCCCTTTCTCTCTCACTGCCCCCCATCTTTTCTTCCTAACTGAATTAGCTGCAGGGTCAAGCATTTCTGAAGGAGCCTATGATGAGAGCACTGGAGGGCTAATCACCTTGATGACAGACAATTGACTGAGGAGCTACTGGCAAACAGGTGAAGATTGGCATCTCAGGTAAGCCAAAGTGAACTGCCACCTATGCTGTTGGCATTTCCCACCAGCCCAGATGGATGGTTCACTCAGGTCTTGTGTTGTTGCTGTAAGCCAAGTCCTTGTGATATAGCCAAGGCTGGTCTCTAAATCACGATCCTCCTGCCTCAGCCCCCTAATAACTATTATATACAGGCATGGACACTGAACATAACTCTGTGATGGCTAATATTGATTGTCAATTTGACAGGGTCTAAAATTACCTAGGAGACAAACCTTTGGCATATCTATGAGAGAGTTTTTAGACTGAGTAACTGATGCTTGAGAACCCAACCTACAGTGGGTGCTATTACTCCATGGGCCATGACCCTGGAAAAGAACAAAAAGGAGGAGTCAGCTGTGTGTGAGCATTTCTCTCTCTCTTCTCCCTATGTATACAATGTGGCCAGACACTCACAGCCTTGCTGCCTGATCACCAGC